TTCAGGGGTGATCAAAATAAATGATGAATGTCTAAATTTTAAAATCATCACAGTACGACTGTGTCCTGAATGCCTTCGGGATTCTCCCCCTCACTTTGAATGAACTTATCCCATTGTTCTTGCCAGTTTCTGCAGCAGCTCTGGAGTCCTCTTTTGTGAGGGTCTTTACAAGGTGTGATCAAGAACACTGGGAATGCTGCTGCCGAGCGCCGTCCCATGGGGAGGCAGGCTCTATAAACAGTGCGTCCTCGTCCACCTTAGCCACCGCAGCTGGCATTGTGTGACTTCTGGGTCCTCCTCAAAGTCAAAGTGACCGGGAAAGGTATGCGGATTGAATCTACTCAGGGCATCGAGGCGGCCAGGACAGTGCACTAAAGACACTCAGGAAAGAGGACTCCAGAGCTGCTGCAGAGAGCAGCAGGGACATGGGATGAGTGTGTCAGAAGCCGGAGAGGACTTTGAGGGGAGTGAGTGGCATTGCATCTTTCACTGTAATGTATTTTTAAACACTCACTGTGTCTTTGGCTTGACTAGATGCCTCCTGACTGTCCGGAGACCTGATTCTGCTGGGTGAGGCCGGTCACCAGGCTCACGCAGGTGGACCCCGAAGGTCGAAGAGGGACCAAGCTAGCGAGGCTCCTTGTCCAACCCTGACGGCGCCCTGGGCGCTGCCAGAGACAAGCAAGGGGCCATCCCTGCCACTCTCCATTCAGATAGGCATGGGGCTCAGCTCAGCTTTAACCTGGGATGAAGTCTCCAGCGACCAAGAAAGAAAGATGTAGCAAGAGAAAAATCCCCTGGCCTGGTACACAGTTGTTCTTCTTGACCCCATTTCCGCTAGAACCAAGGCAGATAAAACAGACGGTGGACGCCGACCCGGCAAGGGGTCACACAACTCTGACGGCGACGCCTGCAGTCATGACATTGGCCCCTTGGATCACAGTCTTCCATGAACCGTGCTTCACCCTGTGCCCGAGTTTTTGAGAAGAAATCTTCCCCGGGGAAAAGAGAACTACAGAGATCCTCCGAGGCGCAAGCTCGAGGAGCTGCTGGCCCGTGTCCTTCTCTGAGGAGGGAACATAACAGGGCCTGTGATGTCCACACCAAGGCGACGCTCACGCCCAGGCCTCAGCTTAGGGCTGTAAAGAGAAGCCTCCTGGATTCTCTAGACTCTGCCAGCCAACAGTAGTCTCGGGATGCTAAAGAGCGGGTTTTCTCCTTCTGTACCACAGAGAAACACTTCTGAGGAGATCCCTTTATGGGTTTCAGAGCCATTTATAATATATTTGAATAAATAAAGATCTCACAATAGGGAAAAATAGCCCTTGAAATGTTCTAATTGTATGGTGATGAAGTTTACTTTTTCTTTTTTACTAGAATTTATTTGTACATTAGGGTCCAAGGAAACTGAGGACCTCCAGGACGGAGGCTGTGTTGCGTAGATCCCTGAAATCCCAGCCACAAGCATACACTAAGTGCGCAATTAATAGTTGATTCATAAATAAATGTCTGGGCAAGGCATTCTGGGAGATTTCCACAAAGCTGACACTTCCTGCACCAACCTTTACCATTTCGTCAGAATAACTTCATCACCATTCTACGAAGAATCCAGTTGTGTTGAGGTGAAAGGATTCATTCAGCCGTAGTTCTACAAAGAGTGGGTCTTCCGCTGAAGAAGCTAGAGAGAGGCCCACTAGGAAGGGGCCACCCCTCAGGGACAAGACTTTCTTTTCCCAGAGAGGGCCATGGACCAGGAATCCCGAGGCTCTAACTGCAGGCTGTTGACTGTCGCTTCCACTGGACGTCCCTGCAGGAGATCAGGCCACACCTGGCTGCACCCTGAGGACCGGGCCGCCATCGGCTGGAGGCGCCAGAGTGCCCCAGCTTTGGCACCTTCCAGGGCTGAAACCCAGTCTCTGAGAAAGTTGCCAGACCCTGCTGGATCCCAGGAGAGCCAGCCCAGTCCGTGGAGCCTAGCTAGACTCACAGCAACCCAGGCATTGCAGCACACGCCTGTGTCCCACACTCCGGGAGGCTGAGGCGGGAGGATCTCTGGGAGTCTGAGGCCAACCTGGGCTACATCGTGAAACCCTATCTCAAAAACTCAAAAAAACAAGCAAAAATGGTGTGGTGTAGGAGTTGCAGGACCTCTTTGGGGAGCAGCACTCAGATGGCCGTGACTGTGAAGAATCTGCCTATGGCAGCTTTTATTCTTGGGGTGCTCTTACAGGGACTAAAATCAGCGCGGTGTGAGCCAGAATCAGAACTGCTGACCCCTGAGCCCCTGATGGCACATCAGGAAGAGGCAGCAGCGTCACCAAACAGAGCTCTGCAAGGTGCTGTTGCCTTTATTTGTTTGTTTTTTTTGGTACCGGGGATGGGGATTGAACTCAGGTCCTTGCGCTTGCACAGCAGGTGGTGAAACCACTGAGCTAAATCCCCAGCCCTTGCTATTGCCTTTAAAAATCAGTTCTGCTGCAAAGGGAACAAAAAAATCTCTGTACTTCCTCCGTGGATTTGAAATGAATCAGGGACCCTTTTTATTTTTTTGTGCCTACTTCCCATCATCTAAATTTAAACTAAGCAAAGAATCTGTGGGTATAAAATTACTGTACTGGGCTGGGGACTCCTACACAGAATAGCAACCATGCTTTTAAAGTCAGGGAAGGCCAGTCCCAGAGGCTTCGTACGGATATGTATGGATTTATTCCAAAAGAAAAATACATTCGAGTGTGGGAGACTAAAGTTAAAAATCTACTTTCCTTTTTAACTTTTTTATTATTATTATTCTTTGAGACAGGGTCTCGCTATGCACTTCAGGCTGGCATTAACCTCACTACATGGGGCAGGCTGACCTCGAACTCGAGGTGATCCTCCTGCCTCAGCCTCCTGAGTGCTGGAGTTACAGGCGTGCGCCACCATGCCTGGCTGTTTTCCTGTTTGTAGCTTTAAAATTTTACTCTCTCCAAAAGTAGAACAAATCTGACTGAGTTCTCAAACCACACATAAAGCTTGGTGTTGTCTAGCATCAGAATAATTTAATTAGCTTTATAGTTTCTACAGCCTTTCTTGTTGTTTTTGTAGATGCTTAAACTTTTTTTTTTTATGAATGAGACCCTCTACATGTTCTTAAGCATATGCTTCTGCTCTCTTTACTAATGATTGTAATGAGCATCTCTCCGTGTTGATGAACATCTGTCCATAGCATGCTGTTCATGGCTGCGTGATATTCTGCTCTCTGGCTGCAGCATGATGTATATACCGGTCCCTCACTAGGACATCTAAGCTGTGTCCAGTTTTTCCGCTTCTAGAAACAGTGCTGTGATAAACGTACTTCTACAAACTTCTCCCCGAAAGTGGTTTCTTATTCCCATAGAATAGTTGCTTAGATTGGAATTTGGGGGCCAGAGGGTGTGCAGCTTTTAAGGAACTTTTTATTTACGGTGATAAATCTCTGTGCCTTTCTTCCACCCTCCTTGTTTGATCGAGTTACATCTGAGAGCATCTTTCTCAAACCCTTTCTAACACTGGTCCTTCCAGGTGGGCCTTGAAACAAACGCAAATTCATCCACCAAATTCATTTAACTCAGGATAATTAAAATAATGTTCGGGGCCGGGGATTTAGCTCAGTGGTTTCACTGCCTGCTGTGCAAGTGCAAGGACCCGAGTTCGATCCCCAGTACCAAAAAAAAAGATAATAATAATGTTCGGTCCTCTGCTAGGAAACACAGAATGTGTGTCATCCAGGAGAGTCAAGTGACAGCTCAAATAAAAAGACACTTAATTCACAGGAGAAGCATTTGCATTACAAATGAGACACCCAGGCAGGGATCGGGTTTCCATATTAATGCATGCATCTGGTGTGGTTATTTTGGGCAGCAGATTTCACCCAGCAGTGATCCCGCCACTAAAGAAGGTACCCTGTAAACTGATCACCCTGTCACCACAGTGCTCCTAATGACATAAAGAAAATAGATTTAAAAGGCTTCTGAGAGTTTGGTTAGTGTTTCCACTGGGGGATCCTTCTCAAGGCTGGGCGGAACAATGGTTGAGAGCATCTCTAAGAGATAAAAAATGAAAAAACTAAATATTACTCTTATGTTCCCTTCTAATCTTTTCATCTTGTGTGTGTGCTTTTATCTGCAGGAATGTGAAAGAAGGATTCAAGAACGCAGTAGATTGATATGAATGAAGTAATATTTTAAAGGATATTTGCATTAAAAATGAAAGTCAATGCTCTTATGAGATGGATGCTTTTTATTATTTGCATAATCACTAATTCCAGTTATTTACATTATTAATCAGTAGTTTTTAAAACACCGTTATTTTATAGAAAGGAGAAACTTAACTGAAGGAAACATTTCTTCTAATGAAGAATATTTTTATATTTTCAGTTTTACTGTTTCACAAAGGCTCTACAGCATGAAACTGTACACAATAAAACTCAGGAACGACGCAAGCCATCAGAAACATCTTTTCATGCAAGAACTTGACAATAAAACTCCAAAAGTACCAATAAAAGCAAATAATACTTTTTGACCTGTGTATTTTAAATCTCTTTCCATGAAAAAAAATACAGCAAATCTAGAAATACTGTCATAATTCTTCTCTGAAGTCCTGATAAAAGTTATTAACCATCTGCAAAAGCATTCCAAGCCCTCATTCTCTGCACACTGCAAATACAGAGGGAAAAGTTTGACATCAACCCCAAGAAAGTAGGCTTGAAAATAACACCTGCTTCCCAGCACAGCCAGAACCTTGAAATTACCCTATTAGGGTCCCTTGCCACTGAGGGGCCCCATGGCCAGTTAATCACTGCTGTCAATATTCCTTTGTAGACCATGGTCATCAGATAGTTTCGTCACACTCTGGTATCTTTCCTCTTGTCCCTTGCCACCCCGTACAGTAGCACAGTGATTCTATCATTTCACAATCTATGTAAGGAACTGGATATCTGTTTGAAGATGAAGCTCGACCCCGTGTTTAGGGGTGAGTCTTACCCTCTTTCTTCGTGGGCTCTGGCATGGCTGCAGTCGGAGTTTCCTCCCCTCGGGCTGGGGACAGAAGCCCGGGGCTGGGACAGACGCGCAGGAGGTCGGTGAGACGCAGGGCTGAGGACGCAGCGGGCTTTTATTCGCTCTGGTCACGCCGCCCGCCCTCTCCGAGGATGCTGCAGCCACATCTGTTGCCCGCGCCAGCCTGGCCTGCTGGGAGGAATCTCCGCCCTTCCCTGCTCCGTCGCTCCCTGTGGCCCTGAGAAGACAGCGCCCTGACTAAATTCCGAGTTCCTCTCCCTCTGTCCCACAGATGCACACGGTTTTCAGATAATAAAAAACATCAAAACCAAAATCCTAACAGGCGAATCCAATCTTATGCCTTGATTTTTTACTAAGGTCAGAAATAAAAATCTCTATCTATTCCCATAGTAATTTTCATGCTCTCTTAACTTTTCATTTTCATCAATTCTTCATTATTTAGTTTGAAAGTGTTATATTTTATCGGCATCACAATAGGCCAAATTTCTCAGTGGAATTTCTTGTTTCACTTTCTTTGCCAAGAGGATTAAGCAATGCCTGCATAGTATTTGCCTTTTTTTTTTTTTTTGAGACAGGGTCTCACTATGTGGTTCAGGCTGGTCTTGAACTCACTATGTAGCCCAGGGTGGCCTTGAAATCACAGCGATCCTCCTGCCTCAGCCTCCCAAGTGCTGTGATTACAGGCGTGGCCACCATGTCTGGCTCTACTTTTTTGCACGAATTACCTTTTTGGAAGATTATATATAAAGGAGAGAAGCAATGATACATACCGGAACAAGAATGAAACTTATGCCAAGGGAATGAAGCCAGACCCCCAAAGCAGACACTGAAACAATATGCCACATACTATCCAATTCCCCCTCTGGGGGAAGATGCAGAACGGGCGAATCCATAGTCAGGATGTAGATGAGGGGCTGCCAGGGCCTGAGGAAGCGGGATCAGGCGAGGCTGCTCCTCGACAGGGGACTTTGAAGCCATGAGGAAAGGGTTCTGGAATCGAAAGTGGTTGTGCAGTCCAACTCTGTGAACACAGTGAAAGCCACGACACTGCACGCTTACAGTCTTGGGGGCACAGGGACCAGGGACCAGCAGTGTCGCTTTGACGCAGGGCAGCAGGCGGCCACGAAAACCTAACTTTGACGTGCACAGAATCGTGTGACTCAGTTCCTTCCTTCTGAGCTCGTGGGAGTCTGGGAGAAGCTGGAGCCACCCAGGGCCCAGGGAAAGGCACCCGTGGGCCGTCAGAGCCGAGGGTTAAAGTTAGCAGTGGGGAGCTTCGTGGGTGAGTGCTCCTTGACACGGAGCTCCGGGCCGGCTCTTGGTCCTGAAGTGGCCATGCCATCTTGTTGCATTTCCCCTGCGCCTGGGCACAGCTGCCTGACTCTGTGCCAGGCTGGCTGGAAACCTGACTCAGATCTCCATAACCTCATGGCCGAGCTATGCGGCAAGGAGGAGGTGGCCTGGCTGCCCTCGGGACCAGCTCGGGAGGAGAAAGCCCTCTCTGCCTCACCCGGCACTCACTCGCTTTTAAAGCAGATTCTTCAGCTTTGAGAAGCTGAGCGGTTCGTGTCAACCAGAAATCGGGTCTGAAGTAACACTAAGTTAGAGGCGGCCTGAAAGAAAATAACATAGCTTTCTTGAGCCTGACAATTAATAGATGAAATAAAGAACTAGAGCTGGGTGTGGTGGTGCACACCTATGATCCCAGCATTCAGAAGGCTGAGGCAGGAGAGTGGCTGCAAGTTGGAGGCCAGCCTGGGCTACACAGTGAGACCCTGTCTCAAAAAAAAAAAAAGAAAGGAACTAGACTATTTCTGGGCCTATCGTTAAACAGCTGAGTTACTGGGCTCCAGCTTCTTTTTGTATAAAATGAGGGATTTAAAAAATAATCACGGTGGCCTCTTGTGGCTTTAGCACACTGTGCTACGACGGGGAAATCTCCCCAAAAGAATCACTTTCCCAGCATTCCCAGGGCACTGAATGCCACATACAAAAGGGCCAGAAGGACGCCGGGTCATGTTGCAGAGGAATGCGCAGCATGACGGGCAAATGGCATGCATGCCTCGGAGCTGCCATGCCATCTTTGGCCTCACACCCCCTGCCTCTTTAATACTGTGATCGTTTTACTGCAGCGAGCATGTGCCAGGAAATATCGCGCCTCTGGGAAAGGGTATTTTATGACCTGGGGAGCTTTCGGTAATAAGAACTTGATCATGACAAGAATATCTTCTTGGAAGGATGGACAGAAGTAGCAAGAATGGTTATTCGGTGTATTGGATGGTGACTGTAAAATTTCCAGTACACATAAGGAGGGGAGAAATGGCCAACATCACCTTTTCTGTTTGTTTGTTTGTTTCTTTGTTAAATGCACTCTTGGATTTTTCCTCTTGTGTCTTGAAGATGAGGTGAGATTTGGTCATCTCTAACCCCAAACTACAAGGTAGCAGCAGTCGAATCCAGATAGAAGGGCTTGTTGCTCACAAATGTACCTCAGAGCGCATAGTGGGGGTCTTGGGGAGACAGGCTTCTTCTCCCGACATCTGCTAGGCAGCTCCGAGGCCCAAAGCGGCTTCTGGCTGGTTAGGGCAGGGGGTGCATGGGAGTCCCAGATGCTCAGGAGGCTGAGGCAGGGAGACCACTCATGCCCAGAATTCGAGGTCCCTCTGTGCAACATAGTAAGAGCCTGGTCTCAGAATTTTTAGATGAATTAATTAATTAAGTGAGCAATTAAATGGCTTCCAGTGCAGTAGCCATTTCAATCATATTCCAGGTGGCAGAAAAGGAGGGGAAGAGAGAGAGAGAGAGAGAGAAAGAGAGAGAATACGAATTCCTTTTCTTCATCTTTTTTTTCTCTTTGGTACCAGGGATCAAACGCACAACCTTGTACTTTTGAGGCAGGCACAGTGCCACTGAGCTAATACTCATCCCCTTTGTCCATCTTAAACGGTCTACGTTGAAGGCCCCATGGAGCAGGCTTGATCAAAAGAAGGGGCCAGATCTGTCCACAAAAGAAGCTAGGAAATGTCATCTTCCATTGCCTTCTTTCTTGCTTGCTCTTTTCTTGCTTCCTCATTCTCTCTCTCTCTCTCTCTGACAGAAAAAGGTCTCCATATGCAGTCCAGTCTGGCCTTGAACTAGCCACCCTCCCGCCTCAGCCTCCTGTCAGGATTACAGGCATGGGTCACCTCACCTAGCTCCTTCTCACTGTCTTAATAATGTCATTTGATGCTTCAAAGTCTTTAATTTCAGGGAAAAAAAAGTGTTTAATTTTAGTGAGGTCCAATGTATTTATTTATTTATTTATTTATTTGTACCGGGGATCAAACTCAGAACCTTGTGCTTGCGAGGCAGTGCATTGTTTTGAGACAGGGTCTCGCTATGTAGTTCAGGCTGACCTTGAATTCACTACGTAGCCCAGGCTGGCCTCCAACTCCCAGGGATCCTCCTGCCTCAGCCTCCTGAGTGCTGGGGTTACAGGTGTGGGCCACACCCAGCCCGATGATATTGGAAATGGTATTGTCCTCCTCATCTCCTCATTGAGTCAATCCCCATTGGTGAACAGGAATGCAGGAGTGTGTTGATCTTGTACCCCACGTGCGAAATTTGTTTATTAGCTCAGGGTGTGTGTGTGTGTTCCTTGGTATTTTCTATAGTTTGCAAATAAAGATGCTTTTGCCTCATTCTTTCCAACTCGGATGTCTTTTATTTCATTTTCTTGCCCAATTGCTCCAGCTGGACCTGACAGTAGTGTTGAACAGCCATTATGAAAGTAAGCATTTTGTTGCTCCCTGGTTTTAAGGGGAAAGTGTTTCTCATTCACCACCAAGTAAGATGTTAGCTGGATGAGTCTTCCGTAAACACTCATTATCATATTGAGAGCATTCCTTTCCCTTTTCTTCTGAGTTATTTTTTAAGCATGAAAGGGCGTTGGATTTAGGTGCATTTTGTGCCTCAGTTGAAATGACCACGTGGCTTTTCCTCCTCGCTGTTATGTGCGGTTAGCACTGATTTTCTTACATTGAACATCCTGGTGTTACTGAGAGAAGCCCCTGAGCCCATGGGTTTAACCCTGTTGATACGTCAGGTCGAGTTTGCTGGTATTTTGTTGAGGACGTCTGCATCTGCGTTCATAAGAGATGTTGGTCTGATTATTTTTCCTGTCAGGTAATTATGTGCCTTGGTATTGGGATAATCCTGGCCTCATAAAACTAGTCAGGAAGTGTTCTTTCGTCTTCTTGGAAGAGTCTGACAGCAGCCAACATTAACGTTTCTTTAAATGCTTGGTCGAATTCACCAGTGACTTCATCTAGCGCTGGACTTTTCTTTGTTCTGAATTTTTTGGTGACTGATTTAATTTCTTTACTGTTATAATTTTTTTCAGATTTTATATTTCTTCTTGAATCTGTTCTGGTAATTCAAATATTCCTGGGGATTTGTGCGTTTCACCTCGTTGACTTCCTTTGTTGGAGCACAGTTGCTCATAGGATCCCCTTATAACCCTTCCCATGGCTATAAGGTCTTTGGTGCCTTTCCACCTCCTTTTCTGATTTCTGTTATTTGTATCTTCTCTCTTTTATCCTTTGGCAGGGTGGCTAAGGAGCTGTCAGTTTTGCAGATCTTTTTCATAGGACCGATTTTTACTTCATTGACTGTCTTGTTTTTCTGTTCTTTCTTTCATTTCTCTGTCTTACTTTCCATCTCCTTTTCCTCGCTCTCTCCTTCCCTTCCTTCCTTGTTCTTCTAGCTTTGGATCTATTTTCTTTTTCTGGTTCCTTAAGATGCACTGTTCTAAGTCATTCCTTTGCATTCTTCCTTCTTTGTGAACGGAGATGTTTTTTGTCATAAATTCTCCTCTTAGCAGCATTTCCACAGAATCTCACAAGTTTTGGTAAGTCACATGTTGCTTCCATTAATGGCATTGTATTTTCTGATTTTTCTTCTAATTTCTTCTTTAGCCCATTGGTTGGTTAAGAGCGGGTTTTAAATTTTCAACTCACTTGTAAATGTTCTAGTTTTCCTTCTTTCTTCTTCTCCAGCTGTACTCCGCTGAAGTCCAAGAAGACATGTATAGCTCAG